TTTTATGTTAAATTTACGTATATGCATCAATTATGAGTGTATATTATGCATCTCATTTTTCTAGTAAATATTTTTATTTTTATAATTTTGAAAATGAATTATTTTAAAAACGAATTCTTCTCACTAAATAAAAATTTTTGTCAATTAATTTTTATGTTAAATTTACGTATATGCATCAATTATGAGTGTATATTATGCATCATTTTCCTAGTAAATATTTTTATTTTTTTATAATTCTGATTAATCATCTTTTTTTGTTATTTCTTTCATAGAAATACGGATATGTAACTAGTATATTTCGAATTACTAAAATACGCAGCTGGAAAAAAGCTTTATTGCATAATTGATATCTCATAGCACTACCACGTACGTTTATCGCAAATATCGTCATAGACCTACGTAATAGTGATATCAACAATTGTTCTCCCGTACATTATCTGCTGTCGGTGGTGAAAATATCACTTGACCTAAAAATGAGTTTCAGTGTATTTCAAATAAAAAGATAAATGTGACAGAAAAAGTGTTAACAATAGACAATTATTTTGAAATTTAAAGTATACTTTACATCATGTATTCTAATAAGATTAGAATAGAATCAGAAAAAAGAAGTTTATGTAATAAAAGTAATCATTTATAACGCGTGTTATACACAAAAAAAATAACGGTACATATTTTTTTTGCAGAAAAATAAAATTTAGGAAAAAAATTTTTCGTATGTATATTTAAAATAAATATGAAAGTTTGATAATAAAAAATATTTTAAAACAAAAGTTTCTCGATTTTATACGTAAAATATGTTGCTATATTTGTATTACAAAAAATATAGTTACTTATTTAAAAACAAAACCCCAAAGATAACTTCAATATTATCTGCTAAACGAAAAGCAACAAATTTTATAATATTGTTGCTCTCGTAATATCAGGCAATTATTGTTTAAACAATTATTTTAAAAGCCTTCGTGATTTTCGAGATAAAAATCTAAAATGCTTTAAAACAAACGTTCGATTTAATTTGTAAATAAAAATGTTTGTATACGAAAAACTGATCATTCCGCGATTGGTTGGACAAATTGAATAAGTTCAATTATTTCAACCTCTGATATATCATTTGAAATTCGATGAAAAATTATTTTTAAGGTTATGATGAAAAATACAATATCTCGATTGTTCTGTCAGGATTGAATTATCGTTGGCGATAGTGATTATTAGCAACCAATCCGATGAAATCGATTTAAGTGTCATTGGCTAAAGACATTTAAAGCAAATTACAATAGGTCTTTGCATAATACAAGAAATATAAATGGTACTATAAGGGAAAGAGATATAATTAAGAAGGTGTACAATATTTCCATTCTTTTTTGAAATTCTTATTATGTGCAAACATTATGGTTACAAAATACGAAACTTTTATATAATGATAAAATAATTTTAATGTTTATTTATATTATATATAATGTATATACT